CTCCTCCAGAATCTTTGTCCGCACCCACTCGAGTGTCCACGAGCTCTGGTTCTGCGGCAGGCTCAATCCGCTCGTGAATTGAAGCCACGATTCCGGCAGCAGCGAGAGCATCTTCAAGCACTTGGTCTACTCCGGGTAGGTGATTCCCGCGGTCGCCAACTTCGCGTAGAGTTCGCGCATCTTGTCCAGGACAGGTTGCACCGGCTCTCCCTCGCTCAGGGGCAAGGCGGACAGCTCCCTCTCCAGCATCAATGTTGCAACAACGGAGGTCGGGGCGTGCAGCTCCTTCAACACGGTCCACGCCTTCGGACCGCACTCAACCTCCGGCAGTAGGTGCATGACGTGGTGACGCTGGTTCAGCTCCAAACTCTGTGACATCAAATGGTAGCCAGCCGAGGAGCGCTCATCCCAATCTTCCTGCAGCGCGGGGTCACTCGGTCTAGGCTCCTCTCCAATCATTAGTTTCAGCAAACCGATCTGACGGAAATACAATTGCATTTTCCAGGCCCAATCATCATAGCCCTCACCATTGAACTTCTCGACGGTGAAGTTCTTCAGCACCTCCTTGACCAGCGAGCCCTGGTTTGTTCGCGCTCCCCTTGGTGCTGAAACACCAGAATCTTGGCTGCCGCTACGATCTTGGCCTGAAGATTCACCAGTTCCTGTCGAGGTGTTGCCCGCCATAGCTACCTATAACGAGGATCACTATAACGCAGCTCTGATACCAGCTTGTTGGTGTAAGGGCCTAATAAACTCAAGCTATTAAGATATAATCAAGCTTGAAACCTCTCCTCTGGGTCACCTCCAAGGGTCCTTGGGTGCCTGGTACAGGACCAGCCCCTATCCTCGGGTCCGAGTTTGTAGAGAGAGGAGTCAAGAATGACTTAGCCAAAATAGCAAGAGTACCTTGAACGTTGCGCAGCGTATCGTAAAGACCGTCGATCGGATTAAGCTGAGAATTTCCTATATCGAAGCTCGCTCCAAGAGCTTTAAAATGAACCAAGTTGCCTCGCGAAAAGTTCTGCCGTTACAAAGTTATGGCTCGGACAGCGTTTGCCTAGTGTTGGAGTGCTAGCATACTGGCGTTGACTCGGGTAGCATTCCGCCGTCGCACCGCGTAGAAACGAAATTTTAGGAAGGGAGAAATTCGCTTGAATCAAATTGACTATTTCCAGGTACAAACAGAGAAGGAATAAATAGTTCTAGCTAGCAAGGACCTTGGAATAAACCTGGGAACAACCAGGGATGATCCCAGATAATTCCAAGCAACAGAACCAACCTGGCTGGACAAAACAGCAGGTGGTAGGTTGGTAAACAACCTCTGGTTCTGGTTTTCCAACCTGGGAAAACAACAACCAGGTTCAGGTCCTAAAAACAGAACCTGTTTTGTCTTTGCCCAACCAGCCAAACGCTGGTTCCGCTGGTTTCCCCTGGCCCTGTAGCATGCACATACAGACAAACAACATCCAACCTTCACCTAAATTGTACCCCTATAGTGCCTGCCCTGCTACACTATAGTCAACCAAACAAAACAGTACAATTTCGAGTTGGATAGAACTGAATCTGCGCAATCAAGTAAGCTGAACCGCAAAGCTTCCATCTTGGGTTCCTTTGCGAGCTCGTCCTTTCTGCTTGCACTGTTCATATCGCGTACAATGTTGTGCCGAAGCGCACAATGCGCGAGTACCTGCAAATGCTTCAAGCAAAAATTGCGAAAGCAAACAAACATACGAACATTCCATTCACACCCAAATGCATTCGCACACGCATACTCGTACAAACAGACGGCAGGATGTCGTGCAATGTGAATTTGCACCCAACAGAATGGACTCAGCGACGGAGTGAGTGGTCCGCACGGCGGCGCTCGCGGAAATGCAGCGGATGGCGGGAATAACGCATCCGGAGGAACGGAAGAGCGACGAGGAAGTCAGCTGCCGGCACGTTCATAGCAAGGGGGACCAAGCGGGTACCAGCGGAGCGCCTCATGGCAGGGTACTGAAGATGAGACGGTAGTGCAGCGCTGGAAGTACACTCAGCTACCGAAAATCGAGGTGCCGGAAAGGTTCTCGGGGGACGTAAGGCGTGGGCCAAGCCTGAAGAATTACATCATGCAGCTGGAGAATCTACAAGCGCGATGGGCGAAAGACCGGTTGGACCCGGAGGAGTTCTTCCGCGGCCTGGCTAATACGCTGGCAGGGGAGGCGGAGACCTACTACCGACTCTCTCGAAAGAAGTTGTTGGAATGGTCCGTGGGAAGCGCTCTGGGCAAGCGAGATCCGACGTCGCGATTCCTGGCGATGCTTCGCGAGCAGTTTCCCTTGCAAACGGCGGAACGAGTGGTGGAATTCCGAGGCTTCAGGAGAAGAGAAGGGAAGTCACTCTTAGCCTATTACGGGAGGCTCGTGGAGCTAGGAGAAGATATGAACTGCATGGATCAGGGAAGGTTGATTGGCCAAGTTCGTGAATGGGTTAAGTCAGCCCCTGCAACAAGACGTACAAGTGCGGGTGTTCGAAATGGGGACCGGAGGCCACGCTAAAGGAGGCTTATAAGATCATAAAACGGGTGGAAACGGGGCGGCGGCTGTATGAAGTGGAGCGCACGGCGGATAGGGGCACGGAACGGAGACGGCCAGCGTGGGCGGCGACATCAGCGTATCCGGAGACAGAGGAGCGAGGGCGAGAGGAGCCACGGCGCTGCCACAACTGCGGCTTGCCAGGACACCTGCGGCGAGATTGTCGGAATCCGGCGGCGTGTTCGCTGTGCGGAAGTCGCGAGTGTTTGGTGTAAGGGCCTAATAAACTCAAGGTATTAAGACTTAATCAAACTTAAAACCTCTCCTCGGGGTCACCTCCAAGGGTCCTTGGGTGCCAGGTACAGGACCAGCCCCTATCCTCGGGTCCGAGTTTGTAGAGAGAGGAGTCAAGAATGACTTAGCCAAAATAGCAAGAGTACCTTGAACGTCGCGCAGCGTATCGTGCAGACCGTCGATCGGATTAAGCTGAGAATTTCCTATATCGAAGCTCGCTCCAAGAGCTCTAAAATGAACCTAGTTGCCTCGCGAAAAGTTCTGCCATTACGAAGTTATGGCTCGGACAGCGTTTGCCTAGTGTTGGAGTGCTAGCATACTAGCGTTGATTCAGGTAGCATTCCGCCGTCGCACCGCGTAGAAACGAAATTCCAGCAAGGAAGGAATTCGCTTGAATCAATTTCACTATATTAAGGTACAAACAGAGAAGGAATATATAGTTCTAGCTAGCAAGGACCTTGGGAATAAACCTGGGAACAACCAGGGATGATCCCAAATAATTCCAAACAACAGAACCAACCTGGCTGGACAAAACAGCAGGTGGTAGGTTGGTAAACAACCTCTGGTTCTGTTTTTCCAACCTGGGAAAACAACAACCAGGTTCAGGTCCTAAAAACATAACCTGTTTTGTCTTTGCCCAACCAGCCAAACACTGGTTCCGCTGGTTTCCCCTGGCCCTGTAGCATGCAGATACAGACAAACAACATCCAACCTTCACCTAAATTGTACCCCTATAGTGCCTGCCCTGCTACACTAAAGTCAACCAAACAAAACAGTACAATTTCGAGTTGGATAGAACTGAATCTGCGCAATCAAGTAAGTTGCACCGCAAAGCTTCCATCTTGGGTTCCTTTGCGAGCTCGTCCTTTCTGCTTGTACTGTTCATAGCACGTACAATGTTGTGCCGAAGCGCACGATGCGCGAGTACCTGCAAATGCATCAAGCAAAAATTGCGAAAGAAAACAAACACACAAACATTCCATCCATACCCAAATGCATTCGCACACGCATACTCGTACAAACAGACGGCAGGATGTCGTGCAATGTGAATTTGCACCCAACAGCGAGCACATGCGGAGGGAATGCCCCGGAGCGCCTGTGTGTGCTCGCTGCGGAAGGAAAGGCCACCGCGAGGCGGATTGCTACTCAAGGCGGAGGGACCGTTGAGGGACAGACTGGAAAGAGGATCGGCAAGCTACCATGGCACGCTTACGGGCGCAATTGGCGGAATTGGAGGCAGCGGATCAGAAGCAGTCTGCCATGGTAGCACAGGAAGAGGACGAGCCGGAGGAGCCAGAATTCATGCTAATGGCGCAGCTAGCTCGCGATCGAGAGAAGCTGGGCTTGCGAAGGGCCTCACGAAGGCTAGTGTTCCCAGAAAATGCGCGGCGGGAAGACGGGCCAAGAAGACGGGCAAGTGAGAGCGAGGAAGTCCAAGGGGCGGCGTACCGGCACCCGCGGGAGCGAATGGCATGCCAAGCAACAGTTCTGACGATAGCAGCAGGCGCGATCACGATCGGAGGCTTTACGGCGCAGCGGGCAATAGTGGACACGGGGGCTGCTCACGTGCTCATCGGTAAGCGTCTGGTTGAGAAGCTGCACCTACATAGGCCGGGGCGCCTCATCGCAGAAGGCTACCTGCTGATGACAGCGGACGGAGGGGAGGCAAAATGGATGCCCAAGACCAGACAATCAATGGCGCTGATGCTGAATCCGGGAACGTTAGAGGAGTCTACGCTGCGGGTGTACTGTGGGGTATCAGAGTCGGAAGATTTTGATTTGCTCATAGGGGTGGAGTACCTGTTTGGGATAGGGGCTACAATCTGCATGTGGGAGGAGAAGGTGCAGTACAGGGTTTGCTACTGGGAAGATGACGGACCCATCGGCACGCTGCCGGTGCGCTTCGTGCGGCGGGAACCAAGGGAAGCGTACCAATGTTCCGAAGCGGAAGTGCAAGAAGAGCTGGGCATACCCACCTAGCAGCAGATTGTGCGGAGGCTGACAACACAGCCGGAGCAGCTCGAGGGGGGAATGGACCTGAAGGCATTGTGCACCAATACGAAGAGGCTCCTAGGGCCAACCGCCGTGCTGGATCTCTTCGGCGGCATCTGAACCGGGCTGGCAACAGTGCTGAAATCAGGAATAAGTGTGGAGAAATGAATCTTGGTGGAGAGTGATGTGCAGGTAGCGAAGATGGCGGTGGCTCACGCGGATAAGCTACACAAGCGGTATCCGCACCAGTTGTGCGCGGCAACGTTGGAAAGCAGCCTGCGTTGTGGGGCTGTAGACATACGTGGGATAGACGAGCACCAGCTACGGCAGTGGGGGAGAATAGATGTCATGATCGCAGGATGGGAGTGCCAGGGCTACTCACGAGCAGGAGCGGGCAGAGGCCTGAGGGACGAACAGAGCGGCTTGTTCCGGGAGCTAAAGCGGGTCTTGGAGCTCATAAAACAGATTCAGGGAGACGTCCTCTACATCGTAAAAAACGTGGACATGGAAGGAGACATCCGCGAGCAAGTACAGGTGGCGCACGAGGAACTGACACCCACCCTGGGACCGGGCGTAGTGGCAAACGGGGCGCAGAAAAGGAGCAGGACACATAGGGTTCGCCGCTACTGGACGAATGGGGTGAGCGACGCGACGCTGCAGTACCGCGTGTCGCTGATGGAGAGGCCGGTGCCCCTGCTGGTGGAGGACATTCTGGAACCCAGGAGGATGCCAGCGCCAGTGGAACGACCGGGCCATCCAACACAGTTCCCCTGCAATGAGGTAGGAAAACCAAGGCAGGCCTGGCCGACCTTCGTGGCCCATGGAGAGGCTGTGGCATTCAGGTTGCACGATGGACTGCCAGGGCCGGGCATGGTATACGACTGCACCGCTCGGGAATGGCAGGACCCCACAGCGCTGGAAAGGGAACTGGCCATGGGGTTCATGGAGAACGCGACAGCACACCCGGAAGTGATCGAGGAGGAAAGGAGGAGAGCGCTGGGGAGAGCTATGGATCTTAATGTGATGCATTGGCTAGTAGCGACCATCAGAATGTATCATTCTGAGCTGCGCTGGGAGCGGAAAAGGGATAAGGCGGCGGCAGTGCAACCGCCGACAGAAAGATCAGCGGCAAAGGAGGCGCTAGCACGAGCCATGCTGGGGGAGATTCAGGAGCACGATGAGCTGCAGCATGAACGGGGGCATCCGCTGGAGAGGCGGTGGGTCTACCCGTGGGAAGAGGAGGACGAGAGACCAGCGGACTACGCAGAACAAGCCGACATTTGGCTCCCAGGGGATCGAGAGGAGCAAGCGGTGGACAAGAAGCGCGAGGACTTCACCGGGCTGGAAGAAGCGATTGAAAGGCAGAGGAGCAGGGAAAGTTACGAGCGGGAATTCGGGTCTGGGGACTTCGCGCTCATGGCAGCAACCAAGGAAGAGGAACAAGCACAAGAAGGAACGCAGGAAGCAGGGGAGGAAGGGGGCGACAAAGGGACGCCGCGTAGGACCGCAAGGCCGGAGGAAATGGAACAGCCAAAGCAGGGGCCGATGGAGCCGCAACGGGAGGAAGGGGTGAAGGAGTGGGAGATAGGGGAAGGCATGGTGGAGGCAGTAGAGGAGCTGAAGAAAGTACTGGCCAAGCACCGGGCAGTCTTCGCTTACTTGCTGAAGGAAGTGGGAAGATGCAACATGGCGGAGGTCACACTGGAGCTGACCACGGACATACCGGTGTACCAGCGGCGCCGGCGCATGACACTGGAAGAAACACAGATTTGTAAAGAGAAGTGTCAGGAGCTGCTAGAAGCCGACTTCATTCGTAAGTCCAACTCTGAGTATGCCGCGGCAACGGTGGTGGCGGCACGGACGGATCTCACGGGAAAGGTGCTTTCGAAGCGGATGTGTGGGGATTACCGGGGTTTAAACAAGGTCACGGTAATGAAAAGGTATCAGACCCCGATGCCGGATGACATTTTTGACCTACTGGTGGAAGCACTCGTGTTCTCGACGCTGGACTTGAGGCAGGGGTTTAACCAAATCCCGATCGCGGAAGCTGACAAGAAGAAGACGGCTTTTCATGGGCCGGATGGTCAGTACGAGTGGAACTTCCTTCCATTCGGCTTAAAGTCGGCTTCACCCGAGTTCCAACGCGTCATGGATCAGGTGTTACGGGACGTGCAGAACGCGGCTTGCTATATCAATGACGTCATAGTGTTCAGCAAGGACAGCCAGTCGCACGTGAAGGACGTAGAGGCGACCTTGAGTGCCATCAAGTTGGCAGGGCTCACCTGCCATCCGGGCAAGTGCAGGTTAGGGCAGACGACCGTGGAGTACCTAGGCTTTGAGGTGGAAGGGGGAAAAATCGGGATCCAGAAGGCGAAAGTCGAAGTACTGGACCGCGTGGCCACACCGAAGGACAGAGCCAGTCTGCGGGCACTCATGGGCTTTTTGAACTAATACCGCAAATTCGTGCCCAACTTCAGCAGCCAAGCCACAGCTCTGAACCAGCTGCTCAGAGAAGATCGCCTGTGGGAATGGGGGCTAGACCAGGAAAGGGCAGTGCAGGACTTGATGGGAGCGGTGAAGAACGGAGCAGTGCTAGAGCTGCCAAGAGCAGACTTGCCATTCACCTTGTACACCGACTGGAGTAGCGCGGACATGGGAGCAGTACTAGCACAGATGAAAGGAGAGGTGGAGAAAGTAGTGGCCTTTGCAAGCCACAGCTGCAATGCGGCTGAGGCCAACTACTCGTCATATGAGGGGGAGGGCTTGGCGGTGGTGTGGGCGGTGAAGCACTTCCGAGTCTACTTGCAGGGGAGAAAGTTCACGCGAGTGACGGATCACCAGCCGCTGATATGGCTGATGCAAGCACCGGATCTCACGGGGCGGAATGCGCGCTGGGCGATGAAACTCCAAGAGTATGACTTTGAAATCAAGCACCGCCCAGGCAAGACAATGCAGCACGTCGACGGACTGTCAAGGAACCCGCCAGAGGTGCAAGCCTCGGCCTGCCTCATGGCTATGGCGAAAGAAGCGGATAAGGGGCATGTGTGGGGAGAGAAGAAGGCTGGTCCGGCGGACATCTGGGAAGACCAGGAAGCACTGGCATGGATACAGGGGGCAACCACGGAGGAAGGGGCAGTGCCGGCTAGAGTGCGAACAAGGGGAGAACACTACCGTTGGTTCAAGGAACAGGTGCAGCTCAGGACAGGGGAGGGGTGGAAGCACGTCCCGCCCCCAGGCGAGCGGGAAAGCATCATTAGAGAGGTGCACACGAAGCTGGGGCACTACGGACCCTTGCGGACACAGCAGCTAGTGCAGACGGGATGGTGGTGGGCTGGCATGCGGAAACAGGTTAAGGACTAGGTGTGGAAGTGCGACGCTTGGTGCAGAAACAGAGCTGTGCTGGAAAGAGAAGGCGGAACTACAACCCCTGCCGATAGTGAGCCTGGGCTATCGACGGTCCTTGGACATAGCTGGGGAGCTGCCTGTCACCACGAAGGGGCGGAGGTACATCCTCCTGATGGTGGAACACGCCAGCAAGTGGGCGGAGGCCAAGCCGCTGGTGCACAAGACGGCTGAAGCAGTAGCAGAGGCTGGGGGCATGTGGCGAGGTGCTGACAGATCAGGGCATGGAGTTCGAGGGGGCTTTTGATCAGCTGCTGAAAGCCATCGGCATCAGGCACAGGTCCACGTCAAGATACCATCCGCAGAGCGACGTACAACCCTCCGGGTTTTAACCTTGTGGCGCCCTTTGATTAAGGCTTAAACACGGTAGCAACTAATGCACATTTTCCATCCATATATCTTGGCATGCGAACAATTATTTCGTTCAGTAGTCCCGGTCGTCGTCAGACTCGTCTCGGTTGGGGCAGTCGTACGAGAGGTGGTTGAAAGCATCGCAGATGTAGCAGCGACGTCCTTCTTGACGCAAGCCACTGTTGCCGCAATCTCCTCGTTTCGTTGACTTTCGGCGGTCGGCGCCCTCCGTCGATTTCGCGTTCGACGACTTCCCACCACTGCCTCCGCCACACTTCTCACGCTGCCCTTGTTGGCATCCCTGCTTCGCCGGGGAGATGTAGTTGGTCTGCGGAAGCAGTTCTGCGGGTCGCTCTGACTCCTACATGAACTCATTGTTATTGATATGGCTCGACAGCGTGTCCTCATTGAGCGTCTCACGCGCGCCAGGCATCGCCAGCATCCGGCACATCAGATTCTAGCCCGTCGGCAGACCCTTGAGGAGGTGCGTAATATAGGACGATGTAGGGTAGTCAACGCCAACCATCTGTAGTTCGGCCAAAATTCACCGAGCACGGTTGCAGTACTCAGTCGCGGACTCATGTTCGCCCATCTTCATGTTCGTCAGCCTCTGCTCCAGTTGGCCGATGTATAGGTCGTCGGTCGCCTTGTAGGTGCGCATGATGTACTGCCACGCTTGGTAGCCAGCATCCACCCGTTGTCTGCACGACTTCAATGTCACTTGCACGAGAGGCGAGCAGCACCTCGAAATGACCATGAAGGTCAGAAGATGAGAAGCGCGAAATTCCGACAAGAGTTCGACCTCCTCCTCGTCCGGCGCCAACACATTTCTGTTGACTATCTTCTTCAATCCGGCAATCTCCAGCTGCGGCTCGATATTTTAGAAACAGTAGCAGGAAGTTTAGAACAGGAAAAGGGGGGTTGCACTAGTAAGCAGGGCAGTACATATAGCAAACCCTAATCGGGTTTACACACTATAGACTACCCCACTGCAGATTAGACAAATAACACATTCTGACACACCCCCATAGTCAAAGTGGGGTATAGTCAGCACAGCACGGAGTCATATAATGAGTTCACAAGCACAAGAAAAGCTGGAGGCATTCACAGAAGGCAAGTGAGGAGGAGGAGGGACTGTGAGAGGAATGGAGATAGGAGGCGACGGGTGAAGCCGCGGACATACGGGCAACAAGAGGTGCGCGCACGGTGGCTACCGGAGCAAGGGCCCCAGACTACAGGAGTAACTGGCACCGCGGCTAAGACGAGCGGCAGGAGCAACGGACCCACGGGCGACTGGCGCAGCGACTGGCTCGCTGGGCTACCGGAGCAAGGGCCTCGGACTACTGGCACTGCTTACGACACGACGGCTGCCTCCGCTCAACCTCCCCCAACTGTCCCACACACCCCCTGCTGCACCCCTAGCTCCACTCCCACGACACCCCCCTAGTGCCACTCCCTCGGATCCCACACACCCACCCCCCTCAACGGCAGCTGCAGTAGTGGGAGACGGAGGAGAAGGAGCAAGGGACGGCTCACACACCCGCCACCCCCATGCCCGCCACCCCCATACCCCAAACGGAGGCAGCAGCTGGGGCGGCGTGCGAGCGGAAGCGGGGCGGCGAGCAGGTCCCTGGGGCGCTGCGACGGGCGACGGGCAGGGCGGCACGCAGGCCCCCGGGGCGCTTCGACGGGCGACGGGAGGGGGGGCGACGCGCAGACCCCAGGGCGCCGCAGCGGGCGACGGGCAGGGCGGCGACGGGCCCCCGGGGCGCTTCGACGGGCGACGGGAAGGGGGGGGGCGACGCGCGGGCCCCCAGGGCGCCACGGCGGGCGACGGGCAGGGCTGCGCGCAGGCCCCGGGGGCGCTTCGACGCGCGACGGGAGGGGGGGCGACGCGCGGGCCCCCGGGGCACCGCGGCGGGCGACGGGAGGGGACAGCGCGCGGGCCCCGTGGCGCCGCGCCGGGCGCGCGCGGTGGGCAGGAAACCGCCACGTGCCCCGAGCGCGTGGCGGGAAGAAAAAATGAACATCGGGCGCCACGGGGCGCGCGACACACAGTATGGCAGCGGAAGCAAGCGGGCCCACAGGCCAGGAGCGTAACCGCTCTGATAGCATGTCAGAAACAGTAGCAGGAAGTTTAGAACAGGAAAAGGGGGGTTGCACTAGTAAGCAGGGCAGTACATATAGCAAACCCTAATCGGGCTGTACTCACTAGAGAGTACCCCACTGCAGACTAGACAAATAACACATTCTGACAAGATAAACTCTGTCCACCTGATCAAGTCGTGTCGACCCTCGAGCGGCTGAGGCACAACAATCTTGTCTGGCGAGAATTTAAAATAGTCGTACGCTGGCGCGATGCCTCTGTCTCGACCAGCCGATGCATGAGTCGCTGAAGTCGGCCTGGCTTCACTCTGCTGGGGAGAACGACGCCGACCGTCGAAGTTCGAGCTTGCCTGTGAGAGTACGATGGCATTGCTGGACTTTACTTGTTTGTTTCTGCTTTAGTACGCATTATCTAGCTTAGCTCTATTTTAACTTGCATGCTTTTGCTTGATTTCCTAGGTTCGTTGCTTTTACTATAGTTTTTGTAGTTATTGGCACCGAACTAGGTTGAGTGCACCGAATTCTAGGCTTTTCGGTTGCCACCGAATTGCCTTCTACCAAATTCTGGAAGGACCCGTTCGGGACGCTTCGCGACCCGCGGAACCTTCTAGTAACACCCGGGTTACTACCTTTGTGTCGAGCCTATATATAGCCTCGCCTTGTACCCAGGTGGATCATTCAATTGATTTATCTTTCCTGAACCAGATCCTCACACTTGGTTATTTGAGCAGGTTTACACGCGACATCTTCCACCGCTGAAAACCGGCCTTTAAGAACCGCGGGGGCGACGATGAAAGCGCCAATACGGGTATGTAAAACCAGTTCTGCGCATTTTTTCTAAGTCCCCCTCAACCCGGTTTTCGAGCACTCCTTAGGATTATTGGCAAATTTTTGGAATTTCGACTGTCAGATTGATTCGAATCTCAACGGCTTAGAGAATTTCGCCCAAAAAAGTTGGAGTTTGGAGCGTCGGATCGAGTTTCTCCTCAACGGCCCAGATTGGACGCGAATTTCGACTAAGAAATAATTACGCGACCTACAGAATTTGCACTCGTCGATTCTACATTCGATTCGACTCGCAGTAAGTCGACCAGCAACTAGAATTCATATATTTTCGTCGCGCAACTTCTGGAAATCACCAAATGGAGGGAAATAGTGATAATTTAGT